TTCCGTTTTTTTTTGGGGGGGGGTCGTCACTTTGTACGGGACCGCTCATACGGCCGTACGTACAGCAGAGCCCCGTATGACGTACGGCGTGTTACACAGGGTTCAGCCTCCTACCGAGTCCATGAAACTCCTAGGAACAGTTCGTCACGGCTCCTTGTTTGTTGTCCTCTGCTCTCCGTCTCTGCCGGCAGTTTAGGGGGAAGCTCTGCGTCTAATGTTTACTTAGCAGTTCTGTTGGATAATGTACACCATGACTACAAGAGATCCTTGCCAGGGGTTAATCTGATCAGGTTGAACGTCAGTTCTTAGGGATGGCACTACGACGTGCCCGCCCATGCTTGGCCTCTACGGCCAGCAATGTGTCTGCAGAAAATGGGCGGGCCTCTACGGCCAGCAATGTGTCTGGAGTTCATTTTCTGGCCGTGACTTTTTGTCTCGTGGCTGTTTTGATCGCATATGACGGGGAGGGAACCTGCAGTCTAGTCTGCTTCTATTTTTGTCACAGGTACCTTGACCTTGACGGCAGTGGTGCCCCCCCTGGTGGGTGCCCACCTCAGGGTATCAGTCTCTCAGAGTCTCTCTCTCTCACTCTCTCTCTCTCTCTCTTCTCTCTCTCTCTCTCTCTCTCTCTCTCTCCATGTATGTATGTATGTATGTTATATACATAACCTCTGTCCTACCCCGTACATATTATATTTCCCCCCCCATTCCCGAAAGGTCTGAGTGTTGCCTCAGTGTTGCCTCACTGTGCACACGACTGATCTCTTGTGAGCAGGCTTCAACTTTTTGAGGGCGCCTTTCTGTGACCCGTCATTTTTCACTGACGAAGGCAGCTATGGAGCAGAGGGCGATGTTGGCGAGTCTTGTTGTATTCCTACAGGTTGTGACTATTGCTTCTGGAGATGTCATCCCCAAGACCCGTGCAAGTAAGGACTAGTACTACATGGTTGTTCTGCTCTGCCTTGTTGCTGTCAAATTCCACATTCGCTTTTGGTGTTTGGAGGGCGGTTCTGGGCAGCTACATCTTGTTCTTCGGTTCTTATTTATTTAATCTTTTTCTTTTTGGTTTCTGTTTCTTTTGGTCATGTTTGCCTAAACTTCCTTGTTTAAAAAAAAAAAAAAAAAAACCCTTCCTTGTTTTCCAGCAGGGTTCGAATCTGAATCTGAGAATCTCATCCGAAAGCAGCATATTGAGCCTAGTTTCCTAAAATTTGGAGGCTATGGACCAGGGATTTCCTTTTTCGGATGTACTGGTGGTTGATTATCCCTAGCCTTGCTGTATAGAACAGGGTTCGAACTCTTAATCTCTTCCTCAAGAGTTGAATCTGTTTACCATTTGGCCACTAGCGTGGGTGGGGTCTCATCATCTTTCCTATTCGAGCTGTTCTTCTTCTTCCCTCCTATTCGCCCTGTCGTTATTTTCCTTGTTGTTCATATGAACCGGTGGTTGTGGGTGAGGTCGCAGGGGGGTAGATTGCCCCAGACTGTCAATACGACTCTCAAAGACGATTTTCAGAGTCGTTGAGCAAGACCCTGCATCTCATAGTCTGTGCACAGTAGGTCGTTGCGCATGCCGGGACGCTGGAGAAGGTCTGAGGTGCTTGCATGCAGTGGGACAGAGTAAATTTCCCATGTTTATTTGTCTTTTCTGGTTTCTTCTTCTTCTTCTTCTTCTTCTTCTTCTTCTTCTTCTTCTTCTTCGTATTTAATCATGAAAAGTATGGTCAATAGGGAGGTGCTTGCATGGGCAAAAGGAAGGCTTCCGATTTTCATTAATCTTTTTGCTTCTTTCATTTTTTGTCTGATTTAATGACGGTTGTTTTATTTAATGACGGGGAAATCGGTAAATTATACTGCCAACGTGGAAACCTTTTTGGTTTTCCGCACCCAAACTTTTGCTGGCGGGCATTGCAGGATGTGGGATGTATTGTACCCTTTTATAATATGGAGCTAGATCATGTACTCAATGTTTTGAGTGTTGAAAATTGCTTCGTGATGATGGCGATGATGAAGATGATAAGGACGGTGCTCATGACGATGATGATGCTGAGGAGGACGGTGGTGGCTGGTTTTGCATATGCAGGGCCTTTGGAGCTGCCGGCAATGCGTAAGTTGGATACAATCGGGGGTCCATGTGACTCGGTGAGTAGAGAAACGGATTTGACTCTCTGTTATCACTGTTTACAGAATAGGAAATGCCATTTTGTATAAAATAAAATAAAAAGATCGTTACCGTTTTGAGTCCTTGGACTTTCCGAAGTTGTCCTCTTGTCAATCAGCCAGAGCTTCTCCTTGGAAAAAAGATCCTTCTCCCTCCCTCCCCACCCTTCCCTCCCTCCATCCCTCCCGCCATCCCTCCCTCCCTCCCTCTGTGTCCTGGAAGAGGCACCCTCCCCCAGTCTCCAGCGACTCCAGGTGGCCACAGACTGACACGCTTCAGGTCAACCTGCTCTGCGATGTGTCGAGATCCCGGTCACAATCCTAGACGGGTTGCAGGCTCACCGATGTGTCGAGATCCCGGTCGCAATCCTAGACGCGGTTCCCTCCATTGACGGCACTCTGGCTTTGCCTGTTTGCGGCCGAGCCTTGTCACATTCATAGCTTGATGGAGGGCAGATCCGGCGCGAGGATCGCACGAGACAGATTTGTGGGACCTCGGTCATTCTCCAAGTCCGGAACGTCGTGTTTGGGCATCTGCTCCTTGTGCTTGGACTCGTTCTACTGCTGTTGATTCCCCTCCTACGGAGCGAGGCAGTTCATTTTTGTGCTGCGACCTCCTCTTTTCTGTTATGAGCAAGACGATGCGGAATAACGATGGATTGAGTTGGTTGTGGGTTGCCAGAGGCTTTCGTGTGTGGTCCTTATATGCTTCGTTGATTCATCACATGTGTTTCTTCTTCTTCTGTAATTCGAGACTTGGGTGTGGTGTCCTTTCTATCGTTCATGGATGCATTATTCGCAAGGGCTTGCTTCTATCTGGTCGCGAAATAGGATATTATGGGGGAACGATCCAAAGGACAGAAGACACACGAATCACACGGGAGGACGCGGGGCATCGGGAATGATTATAGGGGGAAGGGGGATTATGACAGGTAGACCTGTTCAGAATCTGCGGAGTTTATGCTGACAATCATGTGGGCGGAGTCATGATAACAAGTATCTGGGTTAAAGAAAAAAAAAAAAAAAAAAAAAAGTATCTGGGTAAAACAGTGGGTATGCTAACACGAAGAAAGAAAGCTGCTTGATGTTTCGTTTCAAGCAGACCCATTTTGTTGGGAAAGTTCATAAGACCTCCCCGTGACGAAACCTTTGTATCCATTTCCTCCCAAACGGGGAAAAAAGTGGCGCAGGTCCCAAAATCACTTTTGGTGTCATTTTTGCAGGTCCCAAAATCACTTTTGGTGTCATTTTTGCACCCTGGCTTGGCCGATAATGGCCGGTGTAAAAATGGCGGGAAAGTGTTTTGCAGGGTGCAAAGTTGACGCCCAAAGTGATTTTGGGGTCTGCGGCACCCTTTTCCCCTTTTGGGGGGAAATGGATACAAAGGTTTCTGGGCTGGTGGTGCCCCACATGGACAGGTTTGGGCATGTAGTACCAAACTTAAGGGGCCGAGCTTCAGGCACCCCCATAACCATTAAGGTTTTTGGGGTGCATGACTTCCACCAATTATCCCTTCTTGTCCGCATATACCCATATATACTTGAAGAAAGGTTTTGGGTCCCGATTACATTAGATCTTTTGGTAGAGGATTTGTGAAATGAAAAGAGACAGAGAATCTGAGTAAGGTCTGAGTTAGAGGTAGAGGCCATGGTTTGGTTTGCAGACTTTTCAGTTGGTTTGGTTTGTAGATTTCTCAGTTGCTTTCCTTTTTCTTTTATTTCTTTTTCCCCTTGGGATTCAACCACTCCGGATATGGGCTTGGCCGGTGATGCCTTGCTTATAATCGGGAGCCTACAATACATATGTGAGGGACGCCGGCCCGTCGCCGGGCCCGGCTTGTGCAATATCAAAAGCTTCAATATTGCTGGAAAAAAACAAAGAAAGTTGCCTGTTTCTTTTTTTCTCTTTTCTTTGTTTCTTGTTTTTTTAACAAAGAAAGCCGCCCTCAGGGCTTCATATTATAAGCTTAAAAATATCACTGAGGGCATACTCACACGGGGACCAAAAGTCTCAAAAAGTTGAGGCATTTGGTTCGGGTTTTTTGAGGCATTTGGTCCCCGTGTGGTCACAAGGGCGGACTTCGTCCAGAGAGGATGAAGTCAGGAGTCGCGACCATGACACTTTGCACTCAAGGCAAGTGAGCCCGGACCTGCCCGGTCACACGGGGGAGGACCAAACAAAAAGATGGAATTCGTTTTTTCTTTTTCTTTTTCATGCCAGTATAACGCGTGGGCCTTCGCTACAACGAAAATGTTTCTGGTTGCACTTTCAGTTGTTTGGTGGGCTGTCTTCTTCGTGTACGATTCTCTTCATTCGCAAACATTAAAAAAAAATTGAAAGGTAGTTTCTCCTCCTGCCCTGCAGGCCGCTGACAAAAGGGTCACTGTTTGCGGCATTTGGGTAGAGGGCACCCGAAAACTGACTCAAATTTTGGGATTTAGAGTCTTTTGGTCCTCTTGTGAGTATGCCCTGAGGCAAGTTCCCTGTGTCTTTTCAATCAGGCCCATCATTTTGGCGCGTTTCTTGACTGAGGGCATACTCACACGAGGACCAAAAGACCCAAAATCCCAAAATTTGAGTCATTTCTCGGGTCACACTGGAGAGGCTCGCTACCCAAATGCCTCAAACGGTGACCCTTCTGTCAGCGGCCTGCGGCTATGAAACTGTATGAGCGCGCTTAAAGCCCCCTGCGCCGTGCTCAAAAGCACTCAAAGCGTTTTGAGGGCGTCAAAACATCAGCGCACGCGCGCCATGGGGTTGCGCATAGGCAGGGGATGTCGTGGGGGGTGTTGCGCATTAAAAAAAAGTTGGGTGGTTGGGGGTGATTTTGGGGGGGGTGG